GGGAAAAAAATAGAAAAATCATGGGAAAACTGGGAGGAAAAGGGAAAAAAATGGGGGAAAGCAGCTTCCCAACCTTCTCCAGGACCTTCCAAACTTTCTCCCAAATCTCCCCAACTTTATCCTAAACCTCCCAAACATTCTCCCAAACCTTTTCCAAACCTCTCCAATATCCCCAAAAGCTCCCCAACATTTTCCAAAACCTTCCAAACCTTCTCCAAAACCTCCCCAGCCTTTTCCAAAACCTCCCAAACTTTTTCCAGAACCTCCCAAACATCCCCCAAACCCTCTTGAAAACCTTTCAAGTATTTTCCAGAATTTTCCAGACCTTCCCAAAATCCTCCCAACCTTCCCCAGAACATCCCAGTCTTCCCCAAACCCTCGTTCCCACTCCTCACTGTCCCACCTGGCCCCACCACTGTCCCATCCCCATTGTCTCCGGAATTCCGGCTGTTCCCGCACCCATTCCCCCTGGAATTCCAGCCGTTCCCATTCCCATTCCCATTCCCATTCCCATTCCCGTTCCCATTCCCCATTCCCATTCCCATTCCCATCCCTGTTCTCGTTCCTGTTCCCGTTCCCGTTCCCATTCCCCATTTCCCATTCCCATTCCCGTTCCCATTCCCCATTTCCCATTCCCATTCCCCATTCCCATTCCCATCCCCCTTCCCATTCCCGTTCCCGTTCCCGTTCCCATTCCCATTCCCGTTCCCATTCCAGTTCCCATTCCCCATTCCCATCCCTGTTCCCATTCCCATTCCCATTCCCGTTCCCATTCCCGTTTCCATTCTATCTTGGGTTGATTTTGTGCCAATCCTCTATTCCTACATTCTGTCAGCTTGCATGCCCAAAGGGTGCCAGTGCCTTTAAATCTGACCCAGAAGAAGGGGCAGGGGTGGTGCAGGCAGTTTAAAAGCCTGCTGTTTAAAAGCTGCTGTTTAAAAGCTGCTGTTTAAAAGCTGCTGTTTAAAAGCTGCAGTTTAAAAGCCGGGCTGCTGCACAGCCCTGCGGGAGTCTTTGCTCCTGGTGCAGCAGAGTTATACTGCTGCAGTCTAGCTAGCTCGTGTTTGTTAGCTTGGGCAAACAGTTTTGCCCAGGACTGCCACCCCTTCTCCGACTTGTGTGATTTTGCTTCTGGAGCAATTCGGCGGCGGCGGGGACAAGCGGCACCGCTCCATCTTGTCCTGGACTCCAGAAGAAGCCAAGCCAGCGAGAGAAAAACACACCCAGCCCTCTGTTTCATCCACAGTGAGGAGAAACTATCCAGGTTTTGCCACTGTTGCGTAAGTGGCCGAGTGGACTTTTTTTTTGTTTCTTTTTTCC